CGTTATGTGAACAAAACTATAATACTCTCTTTAGCAACTTTGTTGCGAGAGTATAAAAAAAAAATTATGTAATATAAAATGATAAAGGGTAAGTTAGGTTATACTGGCGGGCTGTCGCACCATATATAGACCTACAGGTTTTTTGAAATACCAGTTTAATACGCGCTAAAGTTTACGTCTTTCAGGGTGTTTACGCTGTTTTCGAAATTTAATAGAGACTTGATATCTAATTATGATACTTTAGCCAATCCTTTGAACTGCGAAATTTTTAGATATTTTAGCCGAGCCTTAGCAGAAGGTCGAGCAGAAGCAGAACAGGCGTTTCAGCGTTTCTCACGTGACTATTTTGCTGCACTTTCTACATCTGCGACTAGACTGACAACTGTCTTGAAGTTTTTGGAGACCTTTTTAATCGAATGCGTATTTTCCTTCCTTTCTTTCTTTTCAGCGTAATCTTAATTTATTCAAACTCACGCTATGACCCGTCTGTCAGCCCTTTCCGAATTTTCATTGCGTATCATTTTTACCATCTTGCGTATTTCTTGAACTTCATCAACCATTTCGTTTCACAGAAAACCTTTGTGGCCTGGAAAACAGTATACTTGCATCCGCTTTCCGGTAGCCACCATATCTCTTAACCGCTTATAAGAGCAAAGCGCGCCAATCATTCTCTCTTTTCACTGTTTATCGTCAATTGCAGATTCCAAGTGTAGTCAAGTCCTTCCCCACCAGTCTTCCTCTTCCTCTGTGGGTACTGCGTCGAATAGTCTCAGAGCCGGATTGTTTTCATCCAATCGGAAGAGCCAACTACCTCTTAATTCGCTGAACTATGTCAATGGCGTCGTATATCTCATTCATCGTTCCATCGATGCGGTAGTCACCGTTGTCAATGAGCAAAGGCCTATAAAAGTCGTAACGCCGACCCACCAGATGTTGTCATCCTCCATGCCTCTGCACCATATAGCAAGACTTGTAGAGTTTGGTCTCTGTTTGACGAGAGGGAACTTTAGTTCTCAGTTGCCTACTTGGTTCGAAGTTGGCAAAAGTTATGCTGCGTTGGATTTCGAGGCCACTCATTGCTGTTGGTTAGGAAAGTTCTCTGAACGCCATTCACTTTACATATGGCTCAAGTAGCTCATGACTTACGCTCTTAGACCAAGTATGCTCTGGGTGGATAAAGAACATGCGTTTGAAGACGATTTAAATAGAGAAGACGTACCATCCCTCCCTAGGGTTGTGCAAGGGGTTTGAGACTCGCTACGTAAGAAACGCCTCCAACGAAAAGGAAATAACAGCCTCGAACGAGAGGCTATCTAAACTATTTTACGTCATTTCGTAAGATAGACACTTTCTTGGGGATGTTTAATAGAGTGCTACATTATAATTTTTCTAAATCTATAGAAGCTAAAGAAGTAGAAAGCAAGTGGGTTGTTGGCTATTGATCGTTACTGGGCTGAAAAGGGTATATTTAGTTTAAACCTTTTATACTATAATATGTCTCTTGAAACTAACAAACTGCTCTCTTCATTTCAATTCATCAATTCAATTGATAATTTTTGAAACACTAGATTTCCCACCAATTGTTAATTTTTATATATTACTTGTAACATTCAAATATACAAAATTTGTAACACTAATTATTTCATACACTTGTAGACAAAAATGGAAGGCAAAACAGTTATCATCACAGGCGCCAACAGCGGCATTGGCAAGGAGACGGCACGGGACTTAGCCAAGCGTGGAGCACGTATTATTATGGCGTGCCGAAATCTTGAGACGGCGAATGCTGTAAAAGGTAAATACAATAATGAATATTGAAAGTAATCTTATAACACAACAATGCACCATTACATGATTCCAGAGGAAATCACCAAAGAGACTGGCAACAGCAAATTGATTGTGAAAAAATTGGATTTGGGCTCACAGAAGTCGGTACGCGAATTTGCTGCCGATATTGTAAAGAATGAACCGAAAATTGATGTACTCATACACAATGCTGGCATGGCGCTAGCATTCCGTGGACAAACTAGTGAAGACGGCATTGAATTGACAATGGCCACCAATCATTATGGACCATTTTTGCTTACTCATTTGCTGATCGATGTTTTGAAGCGTAGCGCACCATCACGCATTGTTATTGTTGCTTCCGAACTCTATCGCTTGGCTTCGGTAAATTTGGATAAACTCAATCCCATTGGTACATTCCCAGCTGCTTATCTGTATTACGTGTCGAAATTCGCCAACATTTATTTTGCACGCGAGTTGGCCAAACGCCTGGAAGGCAGCGGTGTGACGGTGAATTACTTGCATCCAGGCATGATTGATTCGGGTATCTGGCGTAATGTGCCCTTCCCACTCAACTTGCCGATGATGGCCATAACAAAGGGATTTTTCAAGACACCAAAGGCTGGCGCACAAACCACCATCTATTTGGCCACCTCCGATGACGTGGCTAATGTCTCAGGCAAATATTTTATGGACTGCAAAGAGACAACTCTCACTGCTGCTGCGATGGACGAGGAGAAGGGCCGCAAGCTGTGGGAGGAATCGGTTAAGTTGGTCAAGTTGACCGCGCAAGATCCAAAGATCTAATCAAATTGAACTTCCAGTCTTAAATGATAACAATTTTTTATAAGAAATAATTACAAGTAATTTAAGTTTCAGAGCGTGCAATATTGCATTTTTAATGGAATTATGAAATAAATTTAATTTTTATTTTTTGCAATCATTTGTTAAAATATGTATGGAAAGTCTCTAAAAGAACTTTATTGAAATGGAAAAAGAAAACACATCAGACCAAGAGCGGGACATACTTAAGTCCTCAATTAGGTTAACTGATTTAGTCAGTCATCTTATATGGATTATAAGATCAGTGGAGTTCGCACACAAAGATGTGGTTAGAGTCATGCGAGGACTCATTGCAAGCTGGTTATATATTTGGTATGTCGGGGTCAATTCTGCATAAGTAGATGTTTAACCTCATACAGTATTTAGAACAAAGTTGGGCAAGGGTCACTCTAGATTCTCACTCATTCTGGTAACTCGAGCCCTTCGTCTGTAATGGGTGGTGGTATGACTCCAAGTACTCAATTCACTGAAAGGGAGTCGGTGAAAGTGTTTATGGCTCCTCTGAGAATTGCGATTGGTGCATGTTTGTTCGATGTCGTCGACCTAATAAAGGAAGGACCTCTTGCTGTTCCTAAGAGGTGGCACAGCTTCAAGCAGACAACTACAGAGATATTTATTTTGACCTTGGATCTCTTTTGTAACAAATAAAATTTCGTCCAAGTTTGTGCTCTATACTTTTTCTATAGGTCTTGTTATTTACGAGATATATACAAAAAAATGCGAATTTCGTGGAAAAGTCAGGTTTAGAGCCCCGTAATACCCAGCCGATGTGAGTTACGACTTTGTTGCAGGGCACTTTTGTAGAGTGAACAATTCTGAGAAATATGCATCTAAAGTCACAGCGATGCCATAAAATACATCTCATCTATAGGAATTTAAAAACTAAACACGATTGTAGTGTATTTTCTATGGAAAATTTTTACATGCCTTGGTCTAGTCTTTAATGTTAATATGAAGGGCTAAAATTTTCATAGAATTTTTTAGGGTATTTCCAAGGAAATTTCGTGACGGGATTGAAAAAAATGAATAGTTAAAAAAAACACCATAATATATTTATATATGTATATTGACATACTGCGATATTTCTTCTAGAAAAAAACACAGTTTGGTGAGGTTTATAAGCCGATGGAATCATCGAACCATATTTTTTTTGAAAAATTTGTAGGTGAGAACGTAACCGTCAATGACGATTGTTTTCGCGCCATAATAACCGACTATTTCCAACAAGACGACGCCACTTCCCACATATTACGTCAATCAATAGATTTATTGAGAGAACACTTCGGTTATCAGATAATTTCATGTTTCAGACCAGTCGATTGGTCAATTGGTCATTTTTCCTATGCGGATATGTAAAATCTAAAGTCCATGCGGATAATGCCACTTTGATTCAGGTCTCGGAGAAAAACATCTTGCTTGTCATTTGCTAGTTATCAGTCGAAATGCTTTTAGCCCATTCATAATTTCATCGAATAGAGAATACTGAATTTTTTCATTTCTTATTTGTTTAAAAATATTCGGCATACAATGGAAAATATATACTCGTATAGGTATATAGGCTCTGAAATTTAAACGTTGCGAAAGTATGTAATTTAATCTTGGTTAGCTTTTGATTTAAGACAAGTCAAAGGATAAGTATCCATTATTTTAAAATTAAAAAAATTATAGCTTGCAATTTTCTGAAATATATTAAAAGGCATTGTATATAAGTCATCTACCCATTCCCATATGATTAATCTACTCCAATGAGCCGCTCAAATCGTGGACACATCAAGAATCTCCTACTTTTTGAATCTTTTTTTTTTTCAAGATTTCCGATGGCGCTAAACAAAGGTCTTAAAAGTAAGAAATAAACAAATAAGAAAGGGCTAAGTTATGGTGGCAAATTGCAGGAATCAAAGCCAGGGAAATACCTTAAGATGTAAAGCGTCAACCAGAGGATCGGAATCTAAGGAAGTTTATATATATGTACATATTCGATATATAACTGATACACTGACCGACATATTCGGCATAAGGTTTTTTAGGGGTTTCATCTCCAAACAAATAAATGCAGCCCGATTTTCAAAAACCCTGATATTAGTTATACGGGAGTTAGGTCAAGTTTTCGCCCAATTTAACTTTTTTTTGGGTACAAAGATACACTGTTATGAGTAAAGTAATTTTCCCTGAGAAAAATCACATAACGGTCGATATTTGTATGTGGAACAAAGATACTCGGAACGGGAGCTCAGTGAAGTATTTACCCGATTCAACCCATTTTTGATACACAGAGGTACTATTTTCAGGAAAGGATTCTCTCTGAATTTCAATGAAAGAATCAAATGGGTTTTAAATTTGTGCTAATCGGGAAGTAGGCATAGTTGAAGTCCAATTTCACTATTTGACAAGAGAATGCAAAAATAATGTCACGTACAAAATTTATTCGAAATCGATTGGTCGAGTCTCGAGATATGGGAATTATCCAAAAAATTTGCGGTGCCACTCCCATCGTCCGATTTTCATACCACCTCCCAGAAAGCTCTCTCATACCACTTCGGAGGTAAAATTGAATGACTCTGGCGTATTAAATTATTGATTTATTACGCTTTTAGTAGTTTTTAACAGGACCGTTATAAGGACCGTCATCATAAATTTTGCAGCTTTAGTGGTATGTGAGATATACTTTATTTATGCAGGTATAGAAATTTTTCAATATTTTTTGCCAGCAAGTGTTCCTTGCGAACTCCTGTGCCTAATTAGAGTTTAATACCTTAATTTAGTGCTTAGTTATGACACTTTATAGGTTTTCGGTATATGGTATTATGCGAGTGTGGCTGTGGTCCGATTATGCCTCATACAATTACCTTTTTTGGTTCTAAGGAACTTGCATACCAAGTTTCATCAAGATTTCTCAATTTTTCCTCTAGTTACAGCTTGCACGCCAAAATTTGATTTTATATCAGATAAAAAAACCGATTCAGTCATTGTATGCAGCGAATTCTAAAAATTTTGCTTGGAGAAAAACGCGCTTAGAAGTAAACTTGTGGACCGGGTTGAACTGAGTGGCTACCCTTTAAGTGGCTGTAACTCAAAAACTATTTGAAATTTTTGTATATGTATTTACTGTTTTCTATTATTTTTTCGGCCATTTCAATCCACCAATCAATTATTCGCCATGGCTTGGTGTTATAAGCGATCTCTAGCGAATATGGTATACTCTTAATACATTGCAGTATATCATAAATTATACTAAATATCAGTTTTCAGGAGAAATACCTACATAAAGATGAAAACGCTAAAGACAACTAATTGAGGAATCATTCACCTTTATGCTAAACTTAACTACAGAAAATTTTGGCGCCAAAATTTCATTCAATGTGAAAATATTCAATCGAATAGCTTTACAATGTGAGAATTTCTTCTCATCATTTTGCATTGGTTGCTCGCATTGCAGTTTTTTAGGGAAGTAATTTGATAGTGTTAACTGCAATCATTTCAAGTCGACCACCATAGCGGTAAAATAAAACAGGTCCAACCAAAACTGATTTTTAAACGCTGTTTTTATTCTTTTTTATTTTCAAACGTCTACATATTTATACATATAAGCAAATTTACAAATATGTAAATATATGTATTGCATGTGTGTGCGCGTGGAATCATGTGACAAGGTCCTTGCAAAAGTTCCCACACCTGTTGAATAGCAGCAACAGTATACTATACATCAAAATAAATATGTAAACATTCGGCGCAAGCATAAAATGTGCGAGCTTGAGAGGATGTGTGTATGTATATTCTTATACTCCAAAGGTTCTCACCACTCGTCTGCGAGTCATAATGAAATCTGACATATATTCTCAGAGGACATTCAATATGACATGCAGCAGCAGGCAGTACGACGAGCGTTTAATCTGATAAACAGGCGCAATTTGTCGGTTGGCAAAAGTTGACCGCGGAGGGGTGCAATGAGCAGCCCATTTTCAACACGTCCATGTGATTAGTGCTGAAACAAGCGCGCTTGCGGTAGATTACATATTACCGATAATAATCGCGCCTACACGCAAGCGCGCTGCAGCAAGAAACAGATAATGCAATAGTCGCGGCACGTGGCTAACGGTATTTATGAGATATATGTACATAAATGTAAACGTATTGCAGTGGGCGGTCGTGTTTGATGAGCGGGTAGGTAGTACTATTTGCTCTTAATATTAGCCGGCCACGCTGCTGGTAGATAATATTTTGATGAGTGTAATTGAAATTTAATATTTTCTTAAAGGATTACAAAATTAACAGTTTGGCGCAGAAATCAATGATGAATGTTGTACAATAAATTATAGAGTATGTATGCTTAGATTGCTAGCATTAAGATCTTAAGTACCGGAAAGCCAACAATTACGAGGCATAAAATATGTTCTTATGACGAAGGACATAAGGATACAGTAGCTAACAGCTTATTGCAAGCGTATGCCGTTAGTTCGAAGCATGCGGCATATATTTGCACAAGTTATTACTGTTATTTTGGGCTTAAGATAATTTATGTGGCTCTCGAAAATGTATTTATTTCTATTTTTAAATATATGTATAAGGAATATATAAGCTTTAGACGTAGACCTCAAAGGCTCGCTATGAATATAGTTGTATACTGTATTTTTATTTCCGAAAGTATCACATTGCAATTAATTTAACGTGCTCCTTTCAAGTGTATTCAGCGCGCAATAAACTCAACTGTGTAGCGACATATTGCCCCAAGTCGGGTTGAGGGTGTAATTTGAGAAGCGCGATTACTGGCCGACGCATATCCTTGCGGGTGAGCAGCTCGGCCAGCGGACATTGACAGTTCCTTTTCAACTGTCACACTGACGCGTCGTACTTATGCTGAAGTGACATTTTGATGCGCCATGTATTTAAAAATAAGACTGTCTTACGCTTTTAGAGTTTGCTTACGAAGAAATGCCTGGTGCCCTAATCAGGGAGAACATATTGCGGTTTTAAATGGCTCTTTGTTTCATTTATAATTGTTGTTTGTTTTTTGTTTGTATTTTTCTTTTTAAGGGCAATGCGCGTAGTAGACCAGCTGTCACCACAGTCAAGTGGCAGATTGTGGGTGTTTTTAGAATG